GGAGTCTGGGAGGCCGGCTATGGGGAAACAGGAGCCGGGACTGCGGGAGTCTGGGGATTGGGGACACTGGAGAACAAGGACGAAGAGGGGACTCTGGATGAGGACTAAGAGGGGACTCTGGATGAGGACTAAGAGGGGACTCTGGATGAGGACTAAGAGGGGACTCTGGACGAGAACTAAGATGGGACTCTGGATGAGAACTAAGAGGGGACTCTTGACGAGGACTAAGAGGGGACTCTGGACGAGGACTAAGAGGGGACTCTGGACGAGGACTAAGAGGGGACTCTGGACGAGAACTAAGAGGGGACTCTGGACGAGGACTAAGAGGGGACTCTGGACGAGGACTAATAGGGGACTCTGGAAAATCTGGAGACTGAGGGGACTCTGGAAACTCTGGAGACTGAGGGAACTCTGAAAAGTCTGGAGAGTGAGGGGACTCTGGAAACTCTGGAGACTGAGGGGACTCTGGAAACTCTGGAGACTGAGGGGACTCTGGAAAGTCTGGAGAATGACGGGGTGAAGTCGTGGCCACTTGGACAGGCTGGACGGGAACCTCTTGGACAGGCTGGACCGGAGCCTCTTGGACAGGCTGGACAGGATGCTTTGTGACCTCCTGGACCACCGCTGGAGCATTAAGCGATGCGACCCCCGGGACCACCGCTGGAGCAGGATGCAATGCAACCTCCGGGAGCACCGCTGGAGCAGGACATGGTGTGACCTCCGGGACTACTGCTGGAGCAGGAAGTGGTGCGACCTCCGGGACCACCACTGGAGAAGGATGTGATGCGACCTCTGGGACCACCGCCGGGACAGGATACGGTGCGAACTCCGGGACCACCGCTGGGACAGGACGCGGTGCGACCTCCGGGACCACCGCTGGAGCAGGATGCAATGTGACCTCCGGGACCACCGCCAGGACAGGATGAGGTGCGACCTCCGGGGTCACCACCAGAGCAGGATGCGGTGCGACCTCCAGGACCACCGCCGGGGCAGGAAGCGCCAAAGTCATGATATACCACACTTTCCACGACCGAGTTGGTCGCTATGATGAGACATTTGTGGGTTTACACCGATGGGTTACACACTGCCATTGAGCATTAATTTAAAAATAATATACATACATGTTGGGGTAGCTTTGAAATGATCTGCACCATCTTTCCTGGATAAAACCTGGGTGATAATCTGAACCGTGTTTCTAAAGGTTTAGCATTAGTAATTTGATCTTTATTTTAGATATTTTTAAATTCTATTTAGTCTGGGTTAATTTTTACCATGTTTGCTCATTTTAGTTTAGTGTTAGGGATGCACCGGAATGAACTAGCCTCACTGAAATCAAGGCATTTCTAGAAATCAATTAAAAAGCCTTGAAAAGGTTTATTTAGCAATGGCATAGCAATGCACACTATAAATTAAGATTCAAAATAAAATGTCTCACTTGATCGCACTGGTGTGCATTAAATACTAATAAATTATAAATAAAGAAAATGATCATTATAAATGTACAGGCTTATAACTGAGAGGCCTATGTGAAAACAGCAGATGTTTGTCTAGTTGACATCAAGAATAGTTAACGTTAAACTACAAAGAATTATATAGTTGATTGTCACGAGGTGGTTATGGAGAGATGTTAGGACCCAAGATGCCGAACCAGATAACGAGGCAGGAGGTGGAAAAAAACGTAAAAATCTTTTATTAAGGAGTAAGTCCAGAGAATGCAGGGCGCCAAAAACAAAATCCAAAAATCCTCATAACTTAACCTAGAGAATCCAAAAACACAAGAGACCTAGAGATTCTAAAAGCTAGAGAGGGGGACGAGACGAGGCTGACACAAAACAATGAACCAACCACACACTGAGAAGCAGACAGGGTTAAATACACTGGGGCAGGATGAGAGGGAGATGAGCTGCAGGTGTGTGGGGAGAGAAACCTAGTGAAAACAATTAACTAATCAGGGAGAGGGAAAATAACATGACCTAAGAATAAAGACAAAACCTAAAGACAAGAGCAAGATAAATATAATATAAGGAGGAAGGAGAACTAAAGAACTGGTGGGAACACACTAAAAGAGACTAATAAATAAAAAGCTGAACCTATAGGAAAAAACTACAGAAAGAAAAACTACAGAGGTGTGACTAAGGGAGACCACAGGAGCAACTGACCTGGGGGGATACCTGGGGAGGGGGAAACCCTAGAGGGGCTGCAGATCAGGGGACACATGAGGAAGATGCAGACAAGGACACATGAGGATGCTAGGAGACACATAAGGAGAACCGAGAGAGGGATGGAGAACACAAGAAGACACACGAGGGAGACGCAGTAACAGACCATGACCGTTGATATGTGACACTGACACAAAAACCAAATCCGACTGTTAAAACGAATTGCTTCCTAAGGGCGGGAGGAGGGGGACCAGGAGGGAGGGCCAGAGCAGGGCGGGAGGAGGGGGACCAGGAATGAGGGCCAGAAGAGTCTGGGGAGCCGGCGATGGGGAACCAGGAACCGGGAGGGCCAGAGGAGTCTGGGGGGCCGGCGACAGGGAACCAAGAGCCGGGACTGTGGGAGTATGAGGGGCCGGCGACGGGGAACCAAGAGCCGGGACTGCGGGAGTCTGGGAGGCCGGAGACGGGGAAACAGGAGCCGGGATTGCGGGAGTGTGGGGGGCCGACGATGGGGAACCAGGAGCCGGGACTGCGGGAGTCTGGGGATTGGGGACACTGGAGAACAAGGACGAAGAGGGGACTCTGGATGAGGACTAAGAGGGGACTCTGGACGAGGACTAAGAGGGGACTCTGGACGAGGACTAAGAGGGGACTCTGGACGAGAACTAAGAGGGGACTCTGGACGAGGACTAAGAGGGGACTCTGGACGAGGACTAAGAGGGGACTCTGGACGAGGACTAAGAGGGGACTCTGGAAGGGGACTAAGAGGGGACTCTGGAAACTGGAGACTGAGGGAAATCTGGAAACTCTGGAGACTGAGGGGACTCTGGAAACTCTGGAGACTGAGGGGACCCTGGAAAGTCTGGAGAATGACGGGGTGAAGACATGGCCACTTGGACAGGCTGGACGGGAACCTCTTGGACAGGCTGGACGGGAACATCTTGGACAGGCTGGACGGAAACCTTTTGGACAGGCTGGACCGGAGCCTCTTGGACAGGCTGGACAGGATGCGGTGCGACCTCCGGGACCACCGCTGGAGCAGGATGCGATTCAACTTCCGGGACCACCGGTGGAGCAGGATGCAATGCGACCTCAGGGACCACCGCAGGAGTATGACTCGATGCGACCTCAGGTACTACCGCTGGAGCAGGAAGCAGTGCGACCTCCGGGACCATCGCTGGAGCAGGAAGCGGTGCGACCTCCGGGACCACTGCCAGAGCAGGAAGCGGTGGGACCTCTGGGACCACTGCCGGAGCAGGATGTGATGCGACCTCCGGGACCACCGCCGGGACAGGATGCGGTGCGACCTCCGGGACCACCGCTGGGACAGGACGCGGTGCGACCTACGGGACCACCGCTGGAGCAGGATGCGATGCGACCTCCGGGACCACCGCCAGGACAGGATGAGGTGCGACCTCCGGGACCACCGCTGGAGCAGAATGTGGTGCGTCCTCCGAGACCACCGCCGGAACAGGATGCGATGCGACCTCTGGGACCACCACCAGAGCAGGATGCGGTGGGACCTCCAGGACCACCGACGGGGCAGGAAGCGCCAAAGTCATGATATACCACACTTTCCACGACCGAGTTGGTCGCTATGATGAGACATTTGTGGGTTTACACCGATGGGTTACACACTGCCATTGAGCATTAATTCAAAAATAATATACATACATGTTGGGGTAGCTTTGAAATGATCTGCACCATCTTTCCTGGATAAAACCTGGGTGATAATCTGAACCGTGTTTCTAAAAGTTTAGAATTAGTAATTTGATCTTTATTTTAGATATTTTTAAATTCTATTTAGTCTCGGTTAATTTTTACCTTGTTTGCTCATTTTAGTTTAGTTTTAGGGATGCACCCGAATGAACTAGCCTCACTGAAATCAAGGCATTTCTAGAAATCAATTAAAAAGCCTTGAAAAGGTTTATTTAGCAATGGCATAGCAATGCACACTATGAATTAAGATTCAAAATAAAATGTCTCACTTGATCGCACTGGTCTGCATTAAATACTAATAAATTATAAATAAAGAAAATGATCATTATAAATGTACATCCTTATAACTGAGAGGCCTATGTGAAAACAGCAGATGTTTGTCTAGTTGCCATCAAGAATAGTTAATGTTAAACTACAAAGAATTACATAGTTGATTGTCACGAGGTGGTTTTGTAGAGATGTTAGGACCCAAGATGCAGAACCAGATAACGAGGCAGGAGGTGGGAAAAAAACGTAAAAAGCTTTTATTAAGGAGTAAGTCCAGAGAATGCAGGGCGCCAAAAACAAAATCCAAAAATCCTAATAACTTAAGCTAGAGAATCCAAAAACACAAGAGACCTAGAGATTCTAAAAGCTAGAGAGGGGGGCGAGATGAGGCTGACACAAAACAATGAACCAACCACACAGGGTTAAATACACTGGGGCAGGATGAGAGGGAGATGAGCTGCAGGTTTGTGGGGAGAGCAACCTAGTGAAAACAATTAACTAATCAGGGAGAGGGAAAATAACATGACCTAAGAATAAAGATCCGGGACCGTGGGAGTATGAGGGACCGGCGACGGGGAACCAAGAGCCGGGACTGCGGGAGTCTGGGAGGCCGGCGACGGGGAAACAGGAGCCGGGACTGTGGGAGTGTGGGAGGCCGACGACGGGGAACCAGGAGCCGGGACTGCGGGAGTCTGGGGATTGGGGACACTGGAGAATAAGGACGAAGAGGGGACTCTGGATGAGGACTAAGAGGGGACTCTGGACGAGGACTAAGAGGGGACTCTGGACGAGGACTAAGAGGGGACTCTGGACGAGAACTAAGAGGGGACTCTGGGCGAGAACTAAGACGGGACTCTGGACGAGGACTAAGAGGGGACTCTGGACGAGGACTAAGAGGGGACTCTGGACGGGGACTAAGAGGGGACCCTGGGAAAATCTGGAGACTGAGGGGACTCTGGAAACTCTGGAGACTGAGGGAACTCTGGAAACTCTGGAGACTGAGGGTACTCTGGAAACTCTGGAGACTGAGGGTACTCTGGAAACTCTGGAGACGGGGGCTCTGGAAAGTCTGGAGAATGACGGGGTGAAGACGTGGCCACTTGGACATGCTGGACGGGAACCTCTTGGACAGGCTGGACGGGAACATCTTGGACAGGCTGGACGGGAACCTCTTGGACAGGCTGGACCGGAGCCTCCTGGACAGGCTGGACAGGATGTGGTGCAACCTCCTGAACCACAGCTGGAGCAGGATGCAATGCGACCTCCGGGACCACCACTGTAGCAGGATGCGATTCAACTTCCGGGACCACCGGTGGAGCAGGATGTGATTCCACCTCTGGGACCACCGCCGGGACAAGATGCAGTGCGACCTCCGGGACCACCGCTGGAGCAGGAAGCGGTGCGACCTCCGGGACCACCGCTGGGACAGGACGCAATGCGACCTTTGGGACCACCGCTGGAGCAGGGTGCGATGCGACCTCTGGGACGACCGCTGGAGCAGGGTGCGATGCGACCTCTGGGACCACCGCCGGAGCAGAATGTGGTGCGACCTCCAGGACCACCGCCGGAGCAGGATGTGGTGCGACCTCCGGGACCACCGCCGGAGCAGGATGTGGTGCGCCCTCCGGGACCACCGCCGGGGCAGGAAGTGATGTGACCTACAGGACCACCGCCGGGGCAGGAAGTGGTGCGACCTCCGGGACCACCGCTGGAGCAGGACACGGTGCGACCTCCGGGACCACCGCTGGAGCAGGGCGCGGTGCGACCTCCGGGACCACCGCCGGAGCAGGATGTGGTGCGACCTCCGGGACCACCACCAGAGCAGGATGCGGTGCAACCTCCAGGACCACCGCCGGGGCAGGAAGCGGTGCAACTTCCGGGACCACCGCTGGGACAGGACGCGGTGCGACCTCCGGGACCACCGCTGGAGCAGGACACGGTGCGACCTCTGGGACCATCGCTGGAGCAGGGCACGGTGCGATCTCCGGGACCACCGCTGGGACAGGATGAGGTGCTACCTCCGTGACCACCGCTGGGACAGGATGCGGTGCGGGCGGCTGGTGTTTGGACGGAGTTTGCTGGCGACGTTCCGGCGGCGTCGTCGGGTGGAGGTTGAGACGGCGTCTACAGGAACAGGCAGGGGAGCTGCCAGAGATTATGGTCCCCATGAAAAAATATCAAGTTGGGCCCCCTGGGGGCTTGTCCATAGCTGCAGCTGGGGTTCCACCCTCCCAGATTTGAAGGGTGAAAAAAATATAATATACATACTTTATATTAGTGTTTCAGTTTTGCTTAATTATGTACGTCTACATGAATTCTTACTTATTTGCATATCATTTTCATCAGCTGTCTCTCATTAAATCGTGAATTTCCTTCAACAAAATTAGCAATATCACTGCTGGAAAAAGCAGGAAATGCACATGCTGAAAGGTGTTAATCTCCTTTTTCCTATTGTTCCCTTAAAATGTGTGTATTTACTCTAACCAAATTCCCCAAATTCCACTACCTCCGCTCTGCTCCGCTCCGGTCCGCCCGCGCCTTCCGCAGCCGCTCGCTTCCGAACTCAATTTTTACTGGTACCCGCTCTACAACGGCTCCACTCCGGTGCGGAGACCTGAGGTGGGCAAACAAGCATGCGTGGGATTTTCGAGATCTTGCGATACAGTCCGAGCAATAAACGCGGAAGTTAGATCCAAACACCCGTTGTGTGGGAGAAGCATCAAAATGAACTGTTTAATCTGCCCATCATTTGTGTTGAGAGATCAGCAGTGTTTGGATCAACAAAGTGTGACTACTTTGATAGTGGAAACTATTTTTGGCTTATTTTTGTGCATTTAAACTTCAGCTGCCATTGATAGTTGTTAAAAGTTGTTAAACCTGTGCATATGAAACAAAAAATGCCTTTTGTTTATCGATTTATTGTGAAAAATGGAAGTTGTGCTTGCTCCTTTTCCTGTTGGGCGGTTGTGATTTCTTTCCATTTACTGCGGAGGTGCTCCGGCGTCCGGCAAAATTAGGATCGATTCTATTATTGCCGGACGCCAGAACAGAGGGCGGTGCACTGCGCCGCACTGCCGGAGCACGGCCGGAGCACGGCCGCAGTAGTGGAATTGCTCTGATTGACTACAACGGGACCGATTTTGCTCCGGCGTTCGTGTCGGAGCGGAGCGGAGCGGAGGTAGTGGAATGTGGGGTAAGATTTTATTTGATGATAAACTTCAAATTTGGATATCTATACTCCCTTAAAATGTGTGTATTTACTCTAAGATTTTATTTGATGATAAAATTCAAATTTGGATATCTAATTAAATTTCCATGTTGTGTCAAAGATTTACATAACTTCATTTTCAGCTGTCTTTCCTCTTGAAATTAAGTATTTCTGTATGACTGATAAAAATTAAGGATTCACTGCTGACAAGGTGACTTCTTTGTTTTTTTGAACACAGTCATTAAAATTAATGCACAACCGGGAAAATGCAGCACAGACTCCTGCAGGATATTAGCTGTAGTTCTCCATCATCAACACTAGATTTCATATTTTATTGTGTTCAATGTTATATTAAGTTTATTTATTACAATTATTAATAGCTTTTTTTTAATTTTTGCTCTCTGATTAATTATTTGGAAATGACTGATTTTTGGTTTGTGTTCTAAAAGCTACATAAACAAATTACATCTTGTAAAACCTCCCATAATTCAGTCAGATTCAGAACATTTCATTTCAAGGTGTTTAGTAGATGAAGAGGTTTTTTTTCTTGTATGGTGCCTTCAAAAAGGTGCTTCACAGTAATAATCTCACAGTAATTTATGTTACATTAACAGACTAAATAACAATGCTTCAACCTGCCCAGCATCAAAAACAACCTATACATTTTTACTGATTGATATTTATAATTATCATTATGTGGACAATGTGTTCATCACCAAAAATAGCCTTTTTATATTCCTTTGTAATAGTACTGATAGAGAAGAGAGCCTTAAGTGATTCCCACAGACCCCCTTAAATGAGGCTGCTAGCTAACATGCCACATTGCTCACCTTCTTGAGGTTTATTGGGTTGTGAGGGGACACCTGCTGACATATCATCAGCTGCTGATTCTGGTAGGGACAAGGATAACAACCCATTTACCACAATTAGATGAAACATAGTTCCTCTCACTGTGGATATCAGAGCTAGCAAACAGGTTGAATTTAACCACTCACTAACTAAACCCACCTTTCTTTGAGAAAAACTGTGTGACATACTGACGCCCTCTCTTCTGCCTGTCCTCTTTCTCCTTTCTTTTTTTCCTTTTCTGTGACCCAGACTTTGTTTTTGCAGACATATTTTTACTGCAGCCTTGATGCACTCTGCTGTCTGACTGCAAGCCTCGCCTGCTTCGCACCCCTCGGCCAGGTGGACTGTACCATTTTATGCCGTTGGGGGGGGGGGGGGGGGTAAATTAATTAATCAAAATAAAGTAGGGACCTCTGAATGAATATACATTTCATAAAGACTGAAAGATTGTTTGTTTAATGTCTTAAATGAGAAAAAATACTGCAAAGTAAAGTACTTGTGATTTTTAAACTTAATTTTTCTTATTCGACTTTGAAACTTTTTTGGGCCGCTGACAGCTGTGGGCCCTTAGAATCTTCCTAATCTTTCACCACTTTACGGCGCCCCTGGGAACAGGGGAAAAGGAAAGGAAACCGGATCTAATGGGAGCAGGAGAGTAATGATGACTCGGGACAGACAGAGTAGATTTGGACAAGGTGACTTGGTGTCCCAGGGGTGTGGAGTTGGAGGCATGAGCAGGAGATGAGCAACGGCCAAAGGTCTCCTGCAGACACCTGGCAAACTCCCAGAAGGACACCGATCTGTAGTCCATAACCCACATCAGGGTGTTACCACCCAGACAACCTTTTTGAACAGTTCCAGTCTGGTTTTTGCCCTTTTTACATCACAGAAACAGCTCTTGTTAAAATCACAAATGACCTGCTCATGGCAGGTGACTCCGGTTTTCTTTCTCTACTCAACGTTCTTGATCTTAGTGCAGCATTCAACGCCATCTCTCACTCAACCCTTCTTAACCGGTTAGCTTCCCTTGGTATTACCCACACTGCTCTTGCCTGGTTCTCCTATCTCACTGGCCTATTTCAGTCTGTTCATTTAAAATCCTTTTCTTCTCACCCTGTTGCTGTTTCTGCCGGTGTTCCCCAGGGCTCTGTCCTTGGACCTCTCTTATTTATCATCTATATTCTTCCACTTGGCCAAATCTTTCGCAAATACAAAATAAATTTCCACTGCTACGCAGATGACACTCAAATCTATATCTCCTCTCAACCCGATGCAATCTTCCCTCCAGTCTCCCTTTCCAGCTATCTCCTTGAGATAAAATCATGGTTCTCTTCAAACTTCCTGAAACTCAACAGCAATAAAACCAAAATTCTACTCATAGGCAAACCCTTCACTCTGAACATATCCCCCAGCATATCAATTAACATAGATAATTCCTCCATCCTTTCTTCCCCCCATGTAAAGAGTCTTGGCGTCATCCTTGACAGCACTTTATCATTCAAAGCCCACATCAACAACATCATTCGCTTAGCCTACTTTCATTTACGCAAAATCAACCGACTCCGTCCCTCTCTCACTCCTCATGCTACAGCCATCCTCGTACACAGCCTAGTCACTTCTAGGACTGACTACTGTAACTCTCTCCTTTTTGGTCTCCCCCATAAATCCCTCCATCGGCTCCAGCTTCTCCAAAATGCTGCTGCACGGATCATCACTTGTACCCCCTCCAGAGATCACATCAGCCCTGTTCTTCAGCGTCTCCACTGGCTACCTACTGAACACAGAATCTCCTTCAAAATCTTGCTTCTCACCTACAAATGTATCCACTGTCTCGCCCCTCCTTACCTCTCCGATCTCCTCCATGTTGTTGTCCCATCTTGCTCCCTCAGGTCTTCCTCTGCCATTCACCTTGTGGTTCCTCCTGCTCGTCTTACCACCGTTGGAAACAGAGTTTTCAGTCGCTCTGCTCCTCGACTCTGGAACTCACCTCCACCTGACATCCAAAACACAGACTCCCTCCTCTCATTCAAATCCAAACTCAAAACTCACCTTTTCAAACTGGCTTACACTCTCTAGCCCACTAACTCTTCACTCTGTAATTTATAGCATATTCTTTGTAATTCTATTGTTTAAATTATCTTATTCTTATTTGTGTGTAAGTTTTATCATGTTTTGTGAGGTGACCTTGGGTTTTGAAAGGCACCTGTGAATTAAATGCATTATTATTCATTATTACATATGTCTCTTCAGGGTTGGATCCACCGGAAAAGCTGAAGGCTCACTCGTCGAGAAGCTTATCGTCTTCTGTGGCGCTCCAAGGAGGAATGTCTGTTTCTGACATCTGTTTAGCGGCTTCATGGGCCTCACCCTGCTCCTTCGTGAGGTTCTACCTGAAAGACATGTCCAGCACCTCTGCTTCCAGCGCAGTGCTTGGTAATGTATCAGTTTGATTCTAACTGCTGGTGTCATCGATTCGGCATGCGTCTCCCTTCTCCCACGTGCTGCTGCCATGGGCAGGGGTGTGTTAATGTGTTCCCCTTATCCCCTGTTGTTATCACATGTTGCTATTAGCAGCTTATGTTTTCACCAAGCCCCCACAATGCGGCTCAGAAATTGGTCTCAACCCGGAAGTACCAAAAATTGTAGTTCCACCCTCATCCGCTGGGGGCTGGTGTCAGAAGCGAGCAAATCCTCATTGACTCCCATGTTCAAATACCAATTTCACAGCAGAAATAAACATGTTTACAGCCTGGTACCAAAACATGTTTTTGTTTAAATTATCTAGTTTAATCAATCAATCAATCGATCAATCAATCAAATTTGTAGAGCACCTTCCACAACTTTATCAGAAGCCCAAGGTGCTGAACAGCATCATCATAAAAAAACATTCCCAGTAGCTGGGCATAAAAGTAAGATAAAAACATAAAATCATAAAATATCAAGCAAACAATATTACAAATACAGAGAGATAACAGAATAAGACTAATCAATTAAAGACAAATGGTGGACAAAATGAGATCAAGCATCCTGGTCAAAAAGAAGAAGTATTAAAAGCCATAATGTCAGGGCAATTCAAAGAACCCTGGCGCTGAAAATCAATCAAATAAAAATGAGTCTTTAGACGAGACTTAAACACTGGAAGGGACGGTGCCTGCCTAATGCTCAATGGCAATTCATTCCACAGAGTTGGAGCCAAAACAGAAAATACACGATAACCCCTCGATCGATATTTCGACCGGGGGACCACCAGAAGTTCCTGCTCGGCTGAGCGAAGAGACCGAGATGGAGCATACCTGTGCAAAAGTGCAGTAATGTAAGAGGGGGCACTTCCCTGGAGGGCTTTATAAACGAGAGTTAAGATTTGAAATTTAGCTCGGAATTGCACCGGGAGCCAGTGCAGAGCAGCCAGCACTGGGGTAATGTGTTCTCGGCATCTAGTACCTGTCAGGAACCTAGCCACTGAGTTCTGCACAAACTGGAGTCGTGCAACCGTGCACTGGGCCAGACCGGCATACAGAGCTGATGCAACAGAGAGAGCTTACCATCTAAACACACATGAAGTGAGACTTGACTACAAGCTGAACTTTCTTTATTGATGTATAGAAGACGAATATGTTAACTTTATCATTTCAGATCATTTTTTTAAATGTCAGTGATTTCAATCATCTGGCTCATATGTGTGTAAAAAAAATCTTGTTCTAAATTTCACTTTTCTGCTGATCTTTGATGGACATCTAGACTGATGTTACACCACCAATCCCCTAAAAGATCAATACTTATTGCTTTCTGTCATTCTTACCCGCTTATCTCAGTAATTAAACAAATGTCCTCTAATGTTTTCATAACCCACAACTCCACTGTCTCCTGTTTCACTCAACGAGCCCTGAAGCATAAGAAGCAGTGTAGAAATGCTGAAATGTTGATCAGGTTTCAGAACGTTTTCTTCCACCCTCTATCCTCAGAAACTGGCCACATCTCTTCTGTCAACGCAGAAAAGCAGAACCTAAAACAGATGTGTAACATAATCACGCATCCACTGACAATGCAACTAATTAAACTTGCAATGACTCTAGTGTGCACATTCAGGCTGATTTGTGGTCATTGTGAGCATTGACAGCCCGAACAAAAGCACACACGGACTCGTGAATTGTAAAGCACACATGAACAAACTCAAACCTCCTATCTACCCCCTGCTGTGCTCTGAGTTCACGATCACTCAACAAAACAGGTCTGGAAACTTAGAAGAAAAGTCGGAGCAAAAACAAAGAGGAGATCCAGCAAGGAGAGGACAAATGACAGTACACGTCGTCAAGTATATGATGCATGAATGTTTATAAGTTGCTAAAGTGGATTTTAAGTAATTTAAAGGAATGCAACTCTGAAAAAAACATTTTTTAATTATTACTTCTCATTATAATCAGTCAATCTGAGTTTGGCATGCAGGCTGAACATGAGGATAGTCTCCTACACCTATCTCCTGCATTAGTTTCTGATAGAAAATAGACAGTGACAGATCTACGTCACACTGTCACTTAATGTTGATGGATTCACCCATCTTGACTCACAAAAGAGAAGACTGTTGTTGGTTTAGTGTCCGTGAATTAGCAGAGAACGTCCCAACTAGTAGAAGCTAATCGTTAGCATTAGCAAGTGTATCACACAGAAAAACTCTTGATTCATTTGTGGAGATAAAACATCAGCGTTGCAGGTCAGTGGTAGAGTCGTGTTGCTGTAATCCAATCTGAGGCAATATGTCCAATCATTGCCTCAGTGTCCTCCAGGCGACGCCTTTTTCCCAGGTATTTTTCTAACAGGAAGTCTGGTTGAAATAGGTCTCCGCCCATGGTGTTTATGTTTATGTTTATGTTTATTCATTTAGCAGACACTTTTATCCAAAGCGACTTACAATTCATAACCTATAGGGCATGTTGTGATCTGTGGGGGAAACCGGAGTACCCGGAGGAAACCCACACATGCATGGGGAGAACACGCAACTCCTCGCAGAAAGGCTGCAGCCGAGTTTCGAACCTGCAACCTTTGTGCTGCGAGGCAACAGTGCTAACCACTGCGCCACCATGCAGTGTTACTCCCCCTTTAAAAGAAAAGCATCGCCATTGAGCAGATCAGGCCTGGTTTCAGCTTTCCAAAATCTAGTGACACTCTGATCTTCAGTCCCAGATGGCTTCACAGCACAGTTCCAGTATTTTGATTTGATTTATCATATGAACATTGAAGACCATAGCCAGCCTCTGGAGGGAGGGTAAATGGTTTGATTTGCAAACAAACTAACTTTAAAGTAACAGTGAGCAGTTTCCTGGGGTCTCATTTATAAAACATTGCGTAGAATCCTTAC